AAAAAAAAAAAAAAAAAGAAAAAAATAAGAAAGTTTCTGGGATAATTCTTTGTACGATAGCATAGTTTTAATATAAGAAAACTATGATTAGTTAATTATAAATATTAAGTTGATTTGTAAATTGAGTTAATTTTAACATACATCAAAATTAAATATTACTAAAGACACTTTTATTATGTATTTTTTCTTCCATAATAATTGTTACTGATTGTCTAGTTTTATTGTTAAATAGTTAGACATTTCGATATTCAAAAGAGTTCTAACATTTATTATTTACAGAATAAGAGTAATCCTTCCTATTTTGTCATAAAGAATTATTAATTAGATCTAAAATACACAGTATATTATGCTTTAGTTATTTCCAAACTTTACACATTAAATAGAGGTAACTAATAAAGTACTACATTCAAACGAATGATAATAGATTTATTCGTAATAGATTTAATTACGCTATCGTAATTTATTTCTTATATTTACGAAAATGAAAAACGCTTTTTTCAATTAATTATTTTTTTAATTGATTAAAAATAATACTCATCGATATCAGAACAGCGACGAATAATATGCTTCTTAATTGTAAGTTTCAAGAATTTGTTTTATATTAAATTTTACTTAATGTAGAAAACCATTTATTTTCGTCAGTATTACCTTCTAAATATTTTATTGCACATATTCTAAAGATATACGTATATAATACGTGGTTTGTAAAAATGTTACTTTTTAAGAGAAATTTACGGACTGATATAGCCTTATATAGCAGCATTTCAGAACGCAGATTACTTTTATTCGAACGTACGAGAACTTATATGTATAAAAGATCCACCTTGTATTTCTTTTTTATATGTAACGACTGCTAAGATATTACAATGCATTTCTTTAGAGTAGTACTAGTGTAACTTTCAGATAAATAAATATTTCTTTCCATTATTGGGACGTACTTTCGAATTCTTATAAATCAACATTTTTCTAGCAAATATGTGCCGATATTACAAAATGTTTTTGATATAAGTAAAACTATGATTAGACTTATATTTATTTAAATTCAAATATCTAATTTTTATTAATACACTTTTCATAAAATTTGGCTTATACCTCATATATTATATACTTCAGAATTCAATTTTAAAACACATAAATAGTAAATTGTAGTAATAATTAATAGTGCTAAATCATTGATTGGATATAAATTTTATATTTTACATATACTTTATTTTGAGAGTGATCACTGATGACTACTTTAAGACAAACAAAGATTTTGAAGTCAATTTTCATTGACTGTAATAATAAGTTACATTAAGAATGGATAGATCTTCTACTGTTTTTCCTGTACTTGTCTAAAAGCTACATATATTGCATAACATATATAAACTTTCAATCGTGTTAAATTTGAAAGCAAAGTTAAAAGAAAGATTTATAGGAATTTCAAATATTTTATCATTTTGTATTTTGTTTTTTCATTTTATTACCGAAATAAACACTAGTTTAATAAAATTGATTACAAGCCAAAATCTTATAGAAGAAGACTACTTTTCTAGAAATGAGTGAAACTTTGTTGAGTACTTTCTAATATAATTCATTCTCTCTTTGAGCATGAGAATTGTAATATATCATTTACACAGTATAAGACCACATCGATTTTTAATGTAATTGCAATTAATAACTTCGGTTGCGTACATTTGTGTTTGCAGAAGGACATACAAAGAGGCAGAGGCAAAAAGAAAAGTGATCGACGGTAAACGTAACAGGTGCATACAGTACAAGAATCAAGACTATTTACGAATATAAGTATACATGACTAATGATTTCCCAAATAATCCGGCTTTCAGGATACAATATAAAGTATTCTTTGACTTTGTCGTTTTATGGAAGCGGATAATGGTAGTACTTAAAACAAAAATATCTTTACATTTTTATTTTGAACAGTCGCTTGGTTTCGATCAAACTACTGCTGCTGCTGCTGCTGCTGTTGCTGTTGCTCCTCCTCCTCCTCCTCCTCCTCCTCCTCCTCCTCATCCCCCTCTTCATTCTCTACTACTGCTACTACTGTCACCATCACCACCACCACCACCACCACCACCACCACCACACCACCACCTTCATTACCAGCATTAATTTCGTCTTTTTGATTACGAGAATAAATTTTTTATTATTTGTGCTCTCGCTAAAAATGCAGTGGAAAGGTTGATTGATATATAAATTCCTCAAGTTCCTTTGGATTATTTGGGAAATAGATGAGGATCGGGGAAAATTTAGCGACACGTATACACAATAATCGCATACGGTCGAAATAAAATCATGAACACGATCATACAATCTAAATACATCATCAGAAATATTTACGAAGGATGAAGATATGCGTATGCACTAATTCTATCCCCGAAATTCATTCTGCTTCTTTCCCTTCCTCTTTAATCTTTCGCCACTATCTTTATCTCTGATACATTATGATAAGTCAGTGTTGTATTACTGCTTCTTTGTAATACATATGTTATTCTACTTTACACGTAGAAGCAAACGGTTTATAAACGTTAACATAAAATGTCTCTTAAATGCTTGATTGCATCTTGGAGGAGTGTACACAGCGAGTCGCAAGGATGAAAAAATTATGTCACGAATGTTCGGAGTTGTTTTCATAAAGAAATTTGTAATGTTATAATACAAGTAAATATTCACAATTAATCCTACAGATTAACAATTATTCTTCTATAAGGAAGTTAGAGTCAAATTGTACTCTTCTCCAACTTGGTAACGAAAATTGGATATAAATATATAAGCAATAATTATGCTTTAAGTAGAAAAATTGTTTACGTAGAAAAAATTCCACCGACAGTTAAATATTGTCATACAAACTTGTAAATTTAAAAGGAAAAAATTTATATAAATCTTTTTTCGTCTTTATGACTGGTAGTGCACGTTTCTAAAATTTTGTCAAACGTGTCAGAGACAGTTTATATTATAGTCTTGTGGTTAAGTATGCAGGTGCACGATATAGAAAAAAAGAACAAGATAAAAGAGTTGATTAAAAACAATCAAGGAAGAAATAAGAAACAAAAGCTGAATCAGAGTTAAAAGTTTTATTGTTGCTCACTCTCTGCTTTTGAATTTGCACTAGCGTTGACTTTGAAATACGATAAGGAGCTTGTCCACTTTTTAAAAACGCTTTCAAAGATACTTTATTTTTCTTTCAAATAGAAAAATGTCGATAAATGAAAGAAAGTGAACTGAAAAAAGATAAGAATTTAAATTTTGATGCGTATAAAAGTGATAATACACGAAAGTACACTATTTGCGAGATTATATCGTACTTTCTAGTTGTCTAATAATTATTGCTTCGATGTGTGTAGTTACAATGTAATCTGTTATCGTTACAAGTCCTCGTTGTATCTTGATGAATAAATAGAGAGTGAGTAAAATGTTGAAATATTAAAATGCCTAGATCTCGTATTATGCGAGGGCTTCGGTGGTTTGTGCAATAGTAATCGTTGAGTCAGTTTTATAAAAAAAATGATAAAATGAGCTTTCAATACCATTTTATTTAAAGATACAACAATAATATTATTTTTAATTAAAAAAATGTAATATCATTAATAACTAAGAAACCTTTAAAATGGAATTTATGCTTTTCTCGGAACGCTATTTATAGTTAGCAATATACATATCTTTCCCATTGCAATATACTTTGTTTTACTTTGTGAATTGCAGTAGGAATAGAGACAACCACCAATAGTGTTCCGATGAGGGTATGAATTTTATTTAAAATGTTTCTCTTTAACAAATAATGATTTTTATTTCTCAAAATAATATAATGAACAATTAATAAAAAAAAAAGAATAAATTTAGAAAATTCATAAGATTATATATGACTAACACAAGAAGTGGAAATCCACTTCCAATATATTCTCCTGATTGAATAATCAGTTTCCAAAATATACATTTTTTTTCCGATTGATGATAGTCAAAAAATTATATTTGCGTATTAGCACAATGTCTGCGGTAAATTAACAAGACAATGAAAAAATAACTATATTTTCCTCTTCCGAGTATATGTCTTTTTGCTTTTCATTTTGTATCCTTAGGTTATATGATACAATTCTTGGTAGAACCTTCTTAAATAATTCTTTGCGAAAACTGAAGTTGTATGAATGAGATATTTAAAATAATTAATTTTTAGATATTACTGAGATCAATTTATTCTTTGTTGATTTGACATATATATATGAAAAATGAAGTCGCTAAATCTGCGGCATTTTATTAATCAATGCTTTGTACTTTATAATTTTATTAATAAAAACACTTTTGCTTTGAACATATATGTATACATATATTGTACAATTTTTATTTTGGTAGCTGAAAATATGATACCAATTAAATTACAACTTTGTATAAATAGGTTCATTATATTGCTACTTTGTCATAATTTTAAGACTGTACACAAAATATCAGAATTTACATGATACAGTGAGAAACATATGCAGTAATTTAACACATCACGCAATAATAAATTATATAATTATTTACAAGTTTTCTTTTCTTTAAAACATATTTTTTACTAATATAAATTTGTTTCTAATTATTAGATCTATCTTACAAACTAAAGAGTTTAAGGAAAAGTCTTAAATTTGAAAATAATAAAAATTAAAAATAATGAGTTATGATTAAAATGTTATTTAGTTTTATTATTGAGAAAAGAGACTATGTCGACATGGTTGCAGAAGCTGGTTCAAGACGTACTGTGTTTCTCTGAGCTAGACCATCATGATTTTTTTGTCTCCATTCAAGCCATCTTAATAAATCTGGGCTTTGTGACGTATCATTAATATCCGTTCGTGCTTCCAATTGTTGATAATATGCTTCACGTAATAGTCGAAAAGTCTGTACATTTTTATAGGGTAATTGAGTCATGGGATCCAAATATTTTGCAGGAAGCCTACATGTTTTTTTTTTTTTTTTATTAAATTTATCAATATTCTTATACATTATAAAAATACGTTCTTGATATTTACCTTGTGATTGCACATAAAGGTTTTATTGGTGATCTCTGTGTTGTAGGTCTTTTGAAAGCTTCTGAGAAAAGCTGATCATTTTCAAAAGTAATGAATGTCCTCTCATAATATCCCTTTGTCTGCTCATAGTAATATTTACTTTTATTGAAACTTTGGGTAGATTCTTTTTTGTTAACAACTTTTGTACCGTTTTCTGACTTTATAGTTGCATTACTAAATAAAAACTTATTAGTTACAATATGTTTAGTATAATAGAAGAGAACTTCATTCTTACCTTTCATCTATTGTTCCATTTGGATGTTTATTTTCTGAATTTGCATTTTTCTCATCATCTCCTTCGATATTAATTTTATCTTCTTCTTTATCATAATTTACCTCAGAGAGTATCATAAGAGGCATTGCTAATGATTGATACCTAATCATAGGCCCAATTTGTGCTTTTCTTACTGTCCTGGTATTTTTCTTTTCATTTTCTAATTTTTGATATTTTTCTAAAATTTGAATTTTAAATTTATGTATTAATATTACACTTAAATTTTTCAAAGGAGAATAAACAATTTACCTAATGATTTCATATTGATCTGTTCAGTTTGTAATGCTTCCTCCAATAATTCCTCTTGCGTAGGTTTCCATGTATCATGCCTTATAACTCTTGTTTTCCTTTTTTGATGTTCATTTCTTTCACTTAATCTTTTTTGTGTTGCTGCTGATTTTGCAGCAGTAGAACGACGTATAGATTTTCTCTCTATAGAAAATTACAACTTAATTTGTGTGCCTATAAATTAATATTTATTTTAGAAACATTTACCTGTGCTCTCAATAAAAATTCTTTGTCTTGGTTGCCTCACTTTTTTCTCTTTGGATGGTACTTGTGATTGAATCTTGGGCTCCTTGTAAGCTTTTGTAACTAGTCTACGTTTCTTCTTAGGACCTTCTTGTTCAGTATCAGAAATAGGCTCATCATTTTCATCTATACTAAAATCTGAATCTACTTCATCTTCTGCTTCATCCTCCTCCCTAAATTAATAAAAAATGACTTGCGATTAATACGATTTTAATAAACAAATTGACAAATTGATATTAACATGTAGTCATGATCTTGTTCCACTTCTTCAAAACCTCCATAAGTTGTTTTATAAAAGTCATCCTCCTCTTCTTCGTTCAGTAATTTTGCCATCTTACTTCCAGCATTTGTACGACGTTCTCTACTTAGTGCCATTTTCGTATAACTATTCAAGTTATCTTTTCCGTAATTATTTATAATTTTTAAATATTATCCTTTTACTTTGTTGTAATTAAAGATAAGTCTCTAGGTTAACTTAACCTAAAAGAAGAAAATAAAATGTTCACATATTTGTTTCTGCAGAGTTTATAATAACATTAATGACAAACAGCATACTATTGTTAAAAATGGATAAATATTTTATTTTTTAAAATAATAGCAATTACTGATTAAAATTTTTATATTTTACACTTGTTTACATATGCCTATACTAAATTCTATCAACGATTCATAGTCGATGTTGTATTCGATAGTTATCGAATTATCAATAACCATTTTCGACAATAACAATAAATTTAAAAGCAATTATTAATTGTATTTAAATTTGAAAATATTTTTATGTTTGTTATTTTAACTCTATATTTATTTTTTTGAATCTTTTATCGAATATGTTTATATTACATAAAATTATATTTTTGGATGTTTACTGATAAAAATTTAAATTGAGTTAAAAATTTGATACATGACTTTTGTCGTCTTTTATTATAAAGAAATATTTATAGAAAATGATATTAATTATTATTTTGAGTAAAAACAAGTAGTATATTAATTTTAATAATAGTATTTCGATAAAATATGTTTGAATCCATTGTGTCTCATGATAGTTATAGATAATATGCTGTTATAAACGACGTTTATATCAAGTGTTCAGATAACCTGATTGCACTCATATCAATAACATTTTTTTCTTATTTAAATACTTCCCTCAGTAATAACGTTTAACATGGAAGATTACTTGAAAAAATATTACATTTCGTTAACTTCAATGGAAAATTTTTGTCTCGTCTACATGTTTTCGTCTTCGTATTTTTGCAGATATAAGAAGCTTGTTAAGAATAAATTTATAAGATTCGAAACAAATAAGAAAATAATTGTTCTTTCTAAAAATAATTTATTTTTAATTGTAATTGATTATAATACATTTTTTTAAAAAGATTATATTTTTATAATATCAATATTCATTGAATAACAATATAACTCAGATCACAAAGTCATAAAATCTATACATTACATTTTGTAGTGATAAATAATTAAATATCTTTTAACGATGCCATGAAAAGAATGAAACTGAAAAAAATGATTGGAAATTTTTATTTCTAGTAAAATTTAAAAAAATTTATATTGTATGATTGAAAACAAATTTATTTTTATAAGATAAAAATGATTAACTAATTATTAATTGTTTATACAAAATTTGTTGTTTCTTTTATACAAGCATAATTTAAGAATATATAGAAGCCACATGACTGATAATTATACTAGTCGAAAAGCATTCATTAATGATGATTTATGAGTATTGCACTGACACATGTTGCGCGTATCATCGATATATATCACATAAAATTCGCACTCACTCGCAAGTCTCTGGAGTCTGTGACGGAACGTGCATACGATCGGAATTGCACAGTTTATAACCTCAAATTGCGAAGAAATTTTTAAATGTCTTGTAACAAAATGAGCAACCCAATGTTTGATCAAACTCTTGAAGACATTTTGGAAAAAAATTTGCCAGAAAAGGAACTAACTGAAGTGAAACGTCTTTTATATGGTCGCGAATTACAGTAAGATTTATTGCCATTTATTTATTTATTTAAATCTAACTTCAATAGATATTTTTAGATAGAATTTTGACATGTTGCGTTCAATTCTCAAAAATTCTCTGTTTTTATTGTATTATTTTGATTCAATTATATTAGTAAGTTATATTTAATGTTTGCACATTATAGAATATCTTGGCGCGAAATATTTTTAAATTTCAAATATAAGAATAAAAAATATAAAAATATGTTTTGCTTGTGAATGCTTCGTATATTGTAAAAATATTTCTGGGCAATATTTCGGTGGAAAATTGCATTATACATATTTTTTTCTCGCAGAAAGAACGTTTATACTAAGTTGGAAAAAAAATGATCACAGATATCAACATTATTTTTTTTTAATAACTTTGTAAAATGAATTTTGAACTAATATAATTATGAATTTGAAAATTGTAAAATTAACGTATTGTCTTTTAAATAAGGAAAATTATATATTGGTCAATTTTTAAAATATATTCACTATTAGTTCGTTATAACGATCGCGAATTGCTTTTGTGATAAATTAAAGGTCTTTAAGTCTTCCCCAATGGAGCGGAAATCAAGATCTCGATGTTAAAGGATATATTATGGGCGGTGGTGTTACGGAGCAATTACGCCCTCCGCGTCTTGTTCGAGTTGGTTTAATTCAAAATTCTATAGTGTTACCAACAACAGAACCTCTGCAGAAACAAAGGAGCGCTCTGCATTTGAAAATCCAAAAATACGTTGATTATGCTGCATCTTGTGGAGTCAATATACTTTGTCTTCAAGAAGCTTGGGGTACATTTCAGAACATAAAGACTATTTAAATATTTACTTGTTTTGATGATAATGTTACACACATCAGGGCTATATATTCTCTGAATATATCTGAGTCTTAAATTAGTACGGTGAGATTAGATAAGAATAAAGAAATATTCTTTCAACAATTTTCATTCTTTTCACAGAGATTGTAGACTTTTATAGCAATGCTAATTTAGGAATGATTTTAATAAAAATAATAACTTATGAATGATTCTTATAAAAATAATTTACAAATAATTCTTATAAAAATGATTATTTCTTCGTATTCTCCATTTTAAAAACTATTCGTTTAAAATAGCGATACTCATGTTTCGTAGCTATGCCATTCGCTTTTTGCACCAGAGAGAAATATCCTTGGTGCGAGCTGGCTGAAGACGCTGACAATGGACCAACTGTAATACTCATGTGCGAACTTGCTCAACGACACGGAATAGTTGTTATTTGTCCAATTCTCGAGAGAGATTCTACGAACGGTGACACTTTATGGAATACCTCTGTTGTGATTGATCATGATGGAAAAGTAATTGGAAAGCAAAGGAAAAATCACATTCCTCGTGTGGGAGATTTTAACGAATCTACCTACTACATGGAAGGGAATTCAGGACATCCAGTCTTTGATACATGTTTTGGACGTATAGCCATTAATATTTGTTATGGTCGACATCATCCCCAAAATTGGATGATGTATGGGCTACATGGTGCTGAGGTAAAATTGATGATCAAATATTTTAGGCAAATATTATAAAGTATAACTTGTTTGTGTTTAGATTGTATTCAATCCATCAGCAACTACTAGTCATACATCTGAGCCACTGTGGCCCATTGAAGCAAGATGTGCAGCTGTAGCAAATAGTTATTATACTTGTGCTATAAATCGCGTTGGAACTGAGATATTCCCAAATGAATTTACATCTGGCGATGGAGCTCCAGCGCATCATGATTTTGGACATTTTTATGGATCTAGCTACATTACTGCTCCTGATGGTACTAGAACTCCCGGTTTGAGTCGTTGTAAAGATGGTATTCTTGTCTGCGAATTAGATCTTAACTTATGTCGTCAAATGAAGGATTTCTGGTGTCTGAGAGTAAGTCGAAACTTCACATACATCTAATCTTTTTCTTTGATTTAAACTATATATTTTTAAAAATCATTAAATTGTTATTCTAATCTCTTTCTCTTATATTTTTTTCTTTTCTTTTTTAATTTCAGATGACTCAGAGATTGGACTTATATGCCAAAGAATTGAATGAATACGTGAAGATGAAAATGTAAAACTGCACGACAAATTGATTCAATAAGCTGAATACGAAACACTGGAAAACGCACATATCTTTGTATAAATCTTCCTTTTTTGTTGAATATGTATAAATCGAAAGGAGACTATAAAAATATATATACATATATTTAGATACATAATTAGGCGAAATTTTATATAAACAATGATTCTTTTTATTTGATCTCAGTCATTATTTAAAAATATAAATAGAATTCTGGAAAAAGTGCGACTTAAAGATAAGTCTATAAATTATGTATCCGTACGTTAAAATTCTTTTTACATACTTACAAATTCTTAAAGAGAACTACTTTATAGTTACAAGTAATATCTTATCAGAATTCATGAGATTAGCTGGCTGAGCCGGCGTTCATCGACGTATTGTGAGTCTGTTTGCGGTAATGAAGTGCTTCCTGATATGCTTTTTTCACGGCCTTCCTATCCGCGGGCTTTCGAGACTCGATTAGCTTCGCTTCGTCCAATTCCTGAGATACTCCAAGCTTTTCCAACTTCTCCCCTGGTAACCATTGCCTGGTAACAATTATATACCAATTATATAAAATAATCTGGTCTGTCTCTCATTACATGGAAAGAGAAGAATATAATTATATTATAGAAAAATAGAATTACCATGTTCTTTTTGTGTCGAAGAAAAGAACAAGAAATACTGGTTCTTTATAATTGACTGCGAGTGCTAATACATCATCGGGCGGCGCTGGTATTGGTACACCTTTATGCACAGTGCCTCTCGGTGTATTAGGATCTATTATAAGAGCCGGATACCAGGGATACCCACGACACTTGGCCCATACAAGTTGGAGAGCCTCCAGACCATTGTTAGCTGCACCCTGCTTGCCTTCTAGCTCTTTTTTTGCTTCGTTCGCTTCTTGTTGCCTCTGTTTTTCTTCTTCAAAATCGGGTGTAGTCGACCGACTCGTTGAACAGCTGCTACAACTCGATGATTGACTTTCACCTTCTCCCACATCGCTATCCATTGTTCCACTCCTACAAATATTTATTTCAAATTGTGCATTAAACTCTTTTATCAAAGCACAGATGTCTATAAGGAAAGAAGAATACACACCTGTACACTTTAAAGCTGTCACTTTGTTTCTTTTTATCATCTTCTAAAATGAATATCTGATTACTTCTACTGGCCCTTGCTCTTGCTTTACGAGTGAAGAGAACTGCTGTTCTTCTGTTTACTCCTCCCATTTCTTTTTCTCCAGACTGTAATTCAGTCTCTCCACGACTTCTATTAGTACGATCCCTTTTCCTGGATTTGGATGCTGTTTGCTCATTTTCACCAACAGGGTTCAATTCAGGATAGTCTTTGCGAGCTTGTTCTATAAGAGCACCACCTTGTTCCTTCATTTTTATTCCAGCTCGATAGAACATGGTGTCCTTACGATTGTAGGCCAAGCAATTATTCACCATTAGGTTAAAATCTGCTTCAAAAGCTCCAATAGTATCATACTCTTGTCTTTCTATTTTAGCCTAATAGAATAAATATTATGCATATATAATAAAATATAAATGTAATTAATATAATTAAATTAGTCAATTAAATATAAATATAATAAAAACATATAAAAATTTAGAACAAAATTAACTACCTGCATAGTAGAAAGATCCATAGGATGTGATACAATTTCCAAATAATCTGGAACTTCTTTAGTATTCACAGGTTGTCCAAATACATCGTTTATATCTTTCATTTTAATTGCTTCTAGTAAGGAGCGCAGAATACTTTCTAAAGGACGTAGTTCGAACCACAAACATTTTTCCTTTCTATAAAATAAAATTAAATGTTTGAATATTCATTATATATTTTTTGATAATTATATTGTATTTTTATTCGTTAAGGTTTATTAAAATTTATTTGATATCTTACACTTTGAATAATTCTTTTTTTAATTTTTCACGTTTGCGTACTAATTCGCAAAGTAATCGAGCCCGCTCGAGATCTTGACGCAGACATTGCCAATATTTTAATTGACGATACAATTCTCCACGTAATTCACTGTCTGGTGGTGGTGATAAATTTTCTCCAAGAGGTGGTGGTCTTGATTGTGGGTGTGAACTCTGAAGTCTTCTAAGAAGTGGAACACCATTTCTGTATTGGCGTTTTAGAGTCCAATATGCTATAAGACGCTGTATCAGTTGACTTCGTTTAGGTAGCCCTTCAGCTAAGCTAATTAATATCATATAACATCAATAAATTTTTTTACAGTTTATGATAAAATAATGTTTTAAAATGTTCTTATCTTTATTACCTAGCAATTTCTTTAATACGTTCTGGTGGTATAGTTGGAATAGAGATAACAGGAGCAGAAGAACTCTTTTTATTTGCAATTGCTCTTCGTCTTGCATCGGCAGGATTGGTGGAAGGTTGATAATCAGATGGCATATGAGCTTCACAATATGCTGTTTTTTGAACTAACATTGGTTCTCCATTTGCAGGTTGTACTGTCCTCATACGCATACACAAACCAGCTTGTTGTGCACATGTCACATGAAATGCAGCATAACAGTTACTTTTATGACACTGAATACAAGCACCTGACCCTCTGCGTTTACACACACAACATGTAAGTCTCCAACGTGCAGCAGGTATACTCTCTATACTATCAATAGGCTCCAAAAACACTGTATTGGCGAACCTTACTTCTGGAATCCACAAAGCACACACAACATGAGCCCATGTAGCTGGGCGATCAGTTTGTTTAAAAGCACCACCCCTATTTGGGCACAAAACACAATCAACTGCTCGTGAAGGACTTTGCAAACATCTTCTGCACAACCACTGTCCCTCAGGAATATATGGTACACCATAACAATCCTGATGAACAGCAAGATTGCACATGTCACAAAATAGTATAGCATTACTGTTCTGACACTCTCCATCCATGCAAATACAGCAAACTGCATCCTCGTCAGCTGCTATTCCACCACCACCATTACTTTGTTGTTGAAAATATGATTCTTTCTCTAATCTGTCCATCAATAATTCAAATGTATCAGCTTCCAAAGCTGGACTAAGTCCAGAAGCTAGTCGTCTTTCATTTACTATAGACAACCATGCAGTATCTTCTTCATCTAAATCATATTCAACTTCACCTGAAAAAATGAAACAAATTCAAATGAATCGTCATTTGAAAAAATTAAATATACTCGAAGAAGTTATATACCATCAAGTTCTTCACCACTACGTTCCATAAACCTAATATAAGAATTTGGAAGTGGTTCTGCTTCGCCCAACTGATGCTCGTATCCATCTATTTGCTTTACCATAGCTACAGGTAAACTGTTCAGAATATTCTTTTCCTCTCTATCTTTATCTGGTGGTACAGCATGTCCCTTTTGAATCATGTTCTTTTCATCAAAACCATTCCCTTCCAAAGAAATAATAGGTATTGAATCTGTGATTCCAATTTTAAATGTTTTATTTGTATCTTCACCAATGGGATTCACCTTGAAAGTAAAGAACAAAATCACAGTTTCCTAATTTAAAAAAAATTAAATTATTTTAAATTTAATAAAAATAATAACTACAATCATAATTTAATTTAAATTTTGTATTCCAATATTTGAATACATTCAATCCTAATTAAAATAATAATTAACAGAAATAAACAATATATATTTATTTAGAAATAAAAATAAATACTGTTTAAATAAATTAATTTTTATGATTTATATGTACTTTTAAAAGTTTATGTAATTTTATTTAATTATTTTCTTGTAATTTTTAGGTATGAAGTGGAATATATTCCATACCAAAACAAATTTCGATGTTTCCTGCGTGCTTAGCGTTTCGGTGTTCGCGGGACTGGTGCTATTGCTATTAACACCAATTCTACTTCTGCCCTTTTTTTTATTCGACTGTGGGGTGTTCATCTTCTTTCACGGTTTCGCGTATTATATTGCAAAAGATAATTAACGTGGTTATATCACCCGCACTTCAGTTCGAAAGCTTTTTCTTACATATGTTTTCTGTTTTTAAAGCATTCTGCTACGAATTCGCCTCGATATCGTACATTAAAACTGCATGGATTAATATGCCTCTCATTTTTACGCAAATACATCCGTCGTATGATAGTTGCATTAATTTGCATTTGAGAGAAAAAAAAGGAACGCTCACAAACGTTTGAACAGGTAAGCTAACCAATTTGAGCGGCAAACGTAATGTGCACTGGCATATTAATGTAATGAAAATACTTTACATTGCGTGCCAATCATAAAGCACTTTTTTCAAAAAAACAGATTTTCGATTGGTGGATTTAAAAAAATTCTTTCTCTGTTTAAATAAAAAATATCTTAAAATATATATTTTAAAATATATATTTATTTTGTTTAAATATAATTTACAAAATTGATTAAATAAAACATAAACTTAATAAATTATGATCAACTTAATATTTGTGATGTGTTTAAAAGCATTGAAAACTTCCCATTATAAACAAGTATTTTCAAGCACATTACAAATATACACTATAACCTTCCGAATAATAAATAAAGAAAAGAATCTTTTTATTAATTTTTATTAAAAGAAAAGAAATCATAATTTATGGAATCTATTCTATTTTATTATAAAAAAAAATTTATGTAAAATAATGATATTTATTAGAATCATAATAAATGATAAATCTTTGTTAATAATATTATTTTATTTCATGAATATAGTCTTAATACAGATGAGGTATGAGAATTGAATGCAATTTTTTTCATTTTAGTATAAAATATCAGAAAATTGTTATGTATTTGTCCATAGATCGTTACACTATTAAGCAACCATTTTCAAAGTGCGACACGCAAATGGCGTCACCTAGCGGCAAAAAGAGCGTCTCCAAATTGAACTCAACGCAGCTCCTGTTTGAGCTTGTCGACCCTGGTTCTGAGTACTTTGTGCGTGGAGTGGGAGAGGGTAAGAGATCTAACTTTACACCAGTCATTGGCAGTATTTGTTCCCGTGCTCGCAGTTTTAGTTCGTCTGTCTCATAATCGAAAGTTTGGTGTAAGGACTAGTTCACTAGATAACCAATATCTGTGTTTTGTGAGAGTGCGGGTCACGCGGCAACAACTGAAACTAACTGCATTCGTAACTGAAGTATCTAATGTTCCGCTGAGAATTATGTCGGATACTGCTGCAGAATTACGATCGGTCACACGTCAAGTCAGCTGACATATTGCGCCCTGCTACACTGCAACAGCTCTTGGTAAGTGTCGCAATCGTGCTACTCGCTCACTAGCGGTGACTATTTTTATCGAATATCCATGAAATACGTTCGTGTAACCATACGTTCAATTTAATGCTATCTTTTCGCTTGACCACGGTGAGATCTAGCTTAATTTTCAGTTCATTTCATTTCCTCTCGCTTTGTGCCATTCTTTTAATCCCCTGTCTCAGCGTTACTCTCGATAAAAAGATGTCCGACGTAATTCGAAATACATATTACGTAGTCAAAAGAAACGACGCAATTTCTGATCAAGTGCGTACTTTCAAGGATAGGAGCCATGTCTCTAATGTCCGTTCTGTTTCTTCGTATTCTTTGACTGCGTGCTTGCTTGCTTACATGCATGCATGCGTGTAGCCGTGTGTTCGCTCGACGGCAGCGCCGATACGATTCAAGCGCAAATGCACACTTATGCATTTATTCTCCCTGTTCCCCTCCCTTTCCGCGATTTTCTTACCCCCTTCCGTGCACCCACATCCGCACCGCCTGATCTTAAATCCCCTCCCTTTGGCCCTTCATATGCTCCCTAAACTAGCGATAGTTATTCTATTTTTTTCCTTTCGCCTGTTCTCAACTAATTCAGTTACACAATAGCCAAGAAACATCTATGAATGTTATATAGTTCAAATATTTAAATACGTTTTTAATTACTTGTAGTTAAAAATTTATTTTGTAGATAATTTAAAATACAATATATGTGTAGATGTTACTTTGAGGTTATGATCTCCTTATCTATAAAGTGCATAAAATTCGTAAAAATAATATAGTTAGTCTTCCCAGAACTCTTATCTGCTGATGAGAATCAAAACAATTAAAAAATTTGTATTATATATTTGTAAGAGGAAATAAGATTTAATACAAAAGTATTATTTTTGCAAACGAATAGTGCGCAACCTAGTTGTCCCTTTTAGTTCTCTTACACAACAGTATCAGTTTAATACAATTTCTTCAAAAGTAGAGAAGCGTTTCTATTCTTCATATATGAAAATCTGTAGGTGGCATTTACGAGGTTATAAAATCAAGTACGCACAGTAGGCTATGTCAGCGAATTTTGAGCTATGGCGCCCGTGTTGCTTGCTAACAACGCAAAATTAACGTACTTGAAGTTTCGTCTAAATAAAACCAACAGGTTCTGTTGAGCACATCAAACAGTTGTGATAGAAACGATTAGCAGGTTGATGCTGTATGTCGGTGTAGATTAACCTCGCCTGAGCCACACCTCGCTTTCTTCCTCTACATGAGTGATACCGTAAAATGGCTGCATGTGGAATTACAAGCAGAATAATATCGCGTGTGATGATAATGCCTTCAAGAAATTTCACTGTCGATCGTCGGTAAACGCGCACGCACGTTCGTACATATGTACACTGTAGGATTTTTTTCTTAATGAATTCTCATATATTATGAATTATAAATATTTCTTTTTTCCTAAAACACTATTCTGGTCAAAAAAAATTTTTATTGTTTTAGTTTATTATTTTCAACGGATGCAATTTAAAATCATCGGCTGCATACGTCGTACTTCCGAACATATTCCTACCACGTGTCATTGGACTGTACAGTCAAATTTCGTAAGAACAATGAGAAAGTGAAGTATAGCTGACTGACAGCCAAAATACAGTTGCAAATACAATTTTAGGTTATCTATATACATATTCTTTCATTAATTTATTTCAAACAAATTTATAATCTTTAAGTATCATTTTATTTAGTGACATGATTAACAAAGTAATTTTTTGCAATCTTTTATATTTATGTTTTTAAAAACTATACATTATATTATTGGGTAGATTGACAAACTTGAATATAAAAAATAGAAAAAAATTACATGCAAATTTGTTTGTTTGTTGTCACATATATTGTAGCTATGTATGAGAATTAAAATTTTTGGTCAATATTTCTTAGACTTAGTTCGAATTATAATTTCAATCATTTCAATCAAGCCTCATCAAAGTTAATGTCAACATAAATTCACGTTCTATTAAAATTTTATATTTAAAAATCAATCAATTGCTGAAAGTATTTAATTTATCTTATTTTTTTAGTACGCAAAAGACAAGTATATATAACAATTATATATTCTATTTTAAATCGGTATAATTATAGTCAATGATAATACTTACTGCAAAAAATTGCGCAACTTTGTGCCAAAAAAGTTCCTATGTATATATCTTTTAAATACATTTGATAAATTAAAACTGTTCAACAAATGTATTAGTACAAGAAAGTAGAAGCTAAATATTTCTGTAAATTAGCGTAATTTATGTAACGATGTATATAGTGACTACTTACTTTTGAATACCGACAACGATTAGTAATTTTCAACGATTAGTAATTTTCATTGTTTCAGTCTTTAACCAACGTAGACATCTCTCTGTTCCAAACAAAAGCGAGTCTAGATAAGTAAAGCGGAAAGCGAGAACGAGTCATTGTCAAGAAATGAGTCAAACGCGAAGACAATCACATTTAAAATCAGAGTCGAATGTCATTTTCGGACGAGATTGGCACATCGAATTCGCGCGCGCGTTTCTCCGTAACGAACCAGCTAGTTACTTTCCGTTAGAAAGTGTTTCTATTTCATTTGCTCGTGTAAACGGAACTTTCATTAAAACCAGTGTTTTTAATTGGCTGTACCAAGTGTTATTGTCATTGTCGACGCGATAAGTACGTAATGTCGGAACATTGGACCGAGAATAGTGTTTCATGATGGTGACGTTAAAAATAGTGATCAATAAAATTTTTTAATTTCCTTGAAATAATTTTCATAAATTAATTACGTCTCAGAATTTTTAACAATTTTATTTAAATTTTTGAAAAAAGAGATAATTACGTATATAAGGTAAATTGATTTTATAAATCTTTTATTGTAAGAAATATAACCTTCTTGTTGAAAATTGTTATAATTTATTTATTTAAATGCAGAAATATATTGATGTGTAAAAAAAGTGTTTGGGCATTTGATAATATCGATAAAGAAAAGTAGAGATATGATTAGTCGACATTTTAGAAGTACGAGAATGTTCGAAAATATTAGATAATTTTTTATCACGTTACTTACGGAAATTAAATTTTTTCATCATTCGTCATACGTAATTTAGTCGTAAATAAATTAAATAATTGATAACTTTAACTTCAGAATCTTTTGCGTTTCATAAATGTCGTTCTATAAAAATTAAATTTTTTACAAAGGCAAATAATATACATTAATTTTCGTAAATATTAAATTTGTTCTAAAATTATTATATAATTAAACATGCTATTTATATGATAACGACCAACACTTACATCATATGGTTTCATTATTAATTTTGATGTGCGCCTGGCTATCGGTTAGATGTTTATTGTACGATTGCAATGTAACGAACGACTAATATTAGAGCTCAAGGAACATTCTCAATTGTACTTTAATAACGTTTCAGGATTCAGACATTTATTTTAAATTTATTTAAATTGCAACCTAATATAAAAGAATTGATCTCTATTTGAGAATTTACCATTTTCGATTCACCTATTAATTTGGCATTCATTGTATATTAATTATTTTCATTATATATATTTCCGTTCATATTTTTATTACATACAGGTTATATTCATCTTTTCAAGTATTCAAATATTTGAAAGTAAAAAAAATTATCTAAAATAAAGCACTCATGTAGCAATGTGAATTATGCGACGTGAGACACGAAAATAATCACATTGAATGTAACTAGACGGAAAATTTTTTTTTATTCATATTTTTTTCTGTATAATCTTCTTAACACGTGTTTTACGTTTGATTTGGCTTTCAATTACTATAGTGACGTCATGAGTTTCAAAGAACTAACGGATTTAAATCCCGTTCATTGCTTACTTCAATTCTTCTATTATGGCATAATTTTCATCAAAATACGATTATATTGAATATTTTTCACTAGAATCCGTATTCTTCCTATGATCTACTTTAAAGCTGTTAGAGCAACAGGTTTGACTCGCGTCAAAATATTTGACATCAATATCTTTTCTTCAATTATTTAAACGATTCGTATGAATGTTTTAATGGAAGTATTGGTGTTCTTTTTGCTATTATTTGTTCTATAAAATCTTTATTGTTTAATGATATATGGAAGATTGTGATGTAGTGAAAGTGAAAACATATGAGATATATGGTTGTCTTGAAGGAATTTAAATTTAATGGATAGTTTACCATAATTCTTTACTAAAGTTGAGAGTTAATAATAATATAAAGCTAATCGAATTTAATATGTATGAGAGTTGAAATATCTTCGAGGTCATAACACGGAAAGGAAAAAAAGTGGCCTTTCTTAGCCTCTCATTTCGCATCTATTGGCATATATCAAATAACATATAGTTTTAATATTGTTATATTATGTAGGTAGCATCGAGAGATCGTATACGACATCTACTGATTCATTTGGGAAATATAGTAAAACATATATAGTGCTTCGACTGAGAACATTATCAGTTTATTCCGTAGAAGTGCGTATATTTTTCGGTCTACAAAGAATCGTATCCATTGCCAAGTTATTTGAGAAAAAAAGTCGCAAAAGGTTGGAAAAGCTATGGTATAAAAGAATAGTCATGCATGTGCGCAGTCGCAGAACGACAGAGGGAATGAGTGAGATGTATCATATATATGTATTTGAGGAAGAAAGAGAAAAAGTGTCGAAAATAAGTGGCGGAAATTCAAGTATCTAAGGAATAAACTAATTCTTTAGAAATACTGTTTATTTTTGCTTTTATATATTTGACGCGTACGAAAGGAAAACAATAGAAAATTCGAAGTATTTTTAATTTTCAAGTATTTGTACTGAATAAAAAGCAGGGCTCTGGTAAATTACACTTTATAATACCTAACCTTATCGCAAGCAAGTATGCGCCGTGTGTCGTCAGTTGTACGTTCGCCCAAAGGCTATACGTCCAAGCGATCGCCATCATGAAAACATTCAGCCCGTTGTCGTCGTTATCGTTGTTTCTTCTCCGTCCTTGCAGGTTCCTCGGATTGAAGTAATATCGAGCGCTCGAGCGCGAAGTTGCATACAAAGAGCGAGTGAGAGGGAAAG